TTCTTGACAACTTCTTTGAGTTCTCCAGGTACACCTTGGAAAATGCTGAAGAACTCCGACACAGAGAATTTGGAGAAATTGCACTCCAATACTACCTTGACAAACAAAGGGTAAACAAAGGGTAAACAAAGGGTAAAATATAGACTAAAAACTTAACGTTTAAAAAGTGACATTTTTAATGAGCTCCGAGTCACCGAGAAAACTTGGTCAGATGTTAGCAGCTTACTTCCCCGAGGAGGATGGAAGCGTTACATACGTAAGGTTCAAAAACAACGAACCTGGAATTGCGTACCAAATTCGCAATTACATGACCATGGAAGAGTACGAAAGGCTCCTACAAGAGAAACCAGCTCTAAACAACTCAGAAAAGAAAGAATAAAAAGTTTAACTCGTAATTGTTTATTTTTTTTACTTGTATGGGCAAGCTGCAAGAATGAAGTCGACTATCTCAGTCTTTGTCTTGACGAGCTGGACGGCTCTTGCGAGTACGTCTGTTTTGCGGTCTCCAGCTGGTGTTTGACCTTCGTAATTGCGCATGTTCTTGAGAGCTCCAACTGTAAATGATGTAGGATGAAGAGTCTCTCAGACTGCTTGAGGTAGTCTTCACGGTCGCGAACCGAATCTGTGGTACGAGTCGAATCGGTCGATTTGAGGGAAGAGACTGAAAGCCTGTCATCTTCCATTGGAGCTGTAGCATACTCTTTGCGTAAGCGGTTCAGACCTTCTTCGAAGTCTTGGTCTCTCTTCGATTGAGATTGGAATTGGAATTGCTGGGGTGGAGCTTGCTGGGGTGGAGCTTGCTGGGGTGGAGCTTGCTGAGATTGGAATTGCTGGGGTGGAGCTTGCTGGAACAACCAAGGGTTGGGGAAGTAAGGCATAGGCTGAGGAGGAGGGTAGTTCGGGAAGCCTTGTGGTGGGTAGTAACATTGAGGTGGAAATTGGTAGTAATTTGGTGGAGGTACTTGCTGGAACTGAGGTGCAGGGGCTGGTGCTTTAGGTTCTGCAGCTTTCGGTACTTCTGGCTTTGGAAGGCATTCAGGAAGAGGAACGTCAGTCATCCGTTTGTGTCCTGTCGGAAGGAAAATTTTTTCCCTTTGTCCGTAAAATATTTTCCCTTTGTCCGGAAAATTTTTTCCTGTCGTTCGACCAAAAAGTTCTCAATTTTCGAAAATTTGAATGGTTTACGGACGAACAACAGGAAAATTTTTTCCCTTTGTCCGTAAAATATTTTCCCTTTGTCCGGAAAATTTTTTCCCTTTGTCCGGAAAATATTTTCCTGTCGGATGGAAGGACTCGGAATGCTAGAAGGATTTGACGAGGCAATTTACCTAATTGAAATTAACGACTGCGTAAAAGACTACTTGCGCAAGGTAATGAAGCCCAAGGTCAAGTTCACCAGTATTTCTGGAAGGTCTACACTTCAGCTCGAGACTTCGACTGGAATTCAATTCAAATACCAGACGGACAGCCTACGATGGCATAAAGGACGCAAAAGAGAAACTCTTGTTAAGTTCCTAAACAAACGTCCTTGGATAAAAATACCAAACAAGGAGAACCCCCTACCCCATATGAAATTGGCAATTCAGTCTCTCCTTCACTTCTCGGGTCAGCCGTTCTACATAACCTGTGAAGGCGACATTCAGCCAGTTCAGTAAACATCTCATTTTAACTTCACTTTTTTTATGTTTTACGCATGTGAAGAAGAAGCCTTCTGGTAAGTTTTTATAGCCATATACATGGCACGCTTTGAGTAAAAACATTTTTTGAATGAAGCAAGTTAAAATTCGTCCCACACCAAATCTCAATGGACCGATGAAGAGTTTCAAGCTATGGTTGAAGACGTTGAGAACGACATAGACGGCGAACTTGAAGGAGCTCAAATTACAATTGCAACCAAAATTGCAGAAGTCAAGGAACAGATAGCTCCACTTAAAGCTACAAAGCTACTCTTGACCTCATGGATAGTTACCGTTTAGATGTCAAGAGTGGAATAAGACAATTAAAATAAACTTCTAAACTACGAAGCTATACTCCAAAAGTTAGCAGAAATGAGAAGACTTTACCAGAGCTACTTACATGTAAGGGACTTACCTTCAAGCAGTCCGACCAAAGATGAATTTGTTGACATTGTCCAATTTTGTCCGAAAGTCAGATCAGATGTTTCGAACTGCTCCCAACATATCCGGAATATGAACGTTTGCCTGAACTCTTCCACAATCTCAAAAAACGTTTTTTGGTTCTCATGTTCGAAACTTTTATCGGAAGAGACAACAAACGTTCAGAAGAAGAACAAGATATTATTTTAAACTTGTTGTATGACTTAACCGTCATAACAAGCTTTTTGAAGTAAAACCGTCATTCTCAAACCACTTCATTTTTTCGATGTCCGAACAAGCACCGAAGCCAAACTCAATGGCAGATGTCCTTTCAAGGTTGCCAGACAAGCGCCCAGTTCAAATTCAAATTGCCCAATTGAACGCTCATCTGTCAAACACCATTAAGACTCTCCAAAGTAGTCTTATGGAAGAGATAACCAATCTCAAAGTCGAAGTCCTCACGAACCAAGCTTCCAATGAGAAAGTCCTGAACGATTTCGCGGAAACCTTGCGCCAATACAACATAGAGAACCAAAACCTTGCCCAACTCATCTACCGTTTCTTCGAAGAGATTGACACCATCTGGAAGGTACTCGGAAAGGATAGAACATGCAACACCGTACTTCGTGAGTACCAAATTGAAGAAGGAATTTTCGAGGAAGAAGAGAAACACGAAGAAGAAGAGGAAGAAGAAGAGAAACACGAAGAAAATGAAGTTTGGGCAACCCTTGTTGCCGATGACGCTTACGAAATTTCCCAACCCTACCCATACCAAATCCGCAACAAGGAGACCGGCAAGGTTCTTACCCCAGTCCTCAACAACTTGGGACACTTGAACCTTACCCTTCGAAATTACGGTTCAATTTCCATGGGAAGGCTTGTCGGTATGCAATGGGTTCCAAATCCAAACAAGAAGATGAGGGTCAGACACATTGACGGTGACAAGCTCAACAACCGTAAGGAGAACCTCGAGTGGTTCTAAGAGTAAAAAAATTTTATTTTAGGGGGAAACCCCGAGTAAATTTAGGTGTTTATTTAGATAAGTAGGTTAAATTAATGGTAATTTGTAAAATTAGTTCCCGACCTTTGAATTGGACTCTTTCGTTATCCCAGTTGCGTAGGAGGTCGTCCCAGAGGAGTTGGTAGAATTGCCAATCCAAGGACGATTTGTCCTCCCAGCATTGAGGATGTACTGCTCGTAGAGTTTCATGACCTCTCCTTGCACCAGACACCCTCTCCCTTGGAACATAAGGCTTCTTCGAAGTGCTCGAATGCGATTGGCTGCTTGACCATCCGAAATGACACTTTTTGTCCGTTTGGTCAATGTTCGTGTCTCGTGCCATAGTCGATGAAAATACAGACAAACAGGTTATATATGAGTTTGAGACCAAGAATGGTGTAACTCGACCTGTCCGATTCAAAGACTCCGAGGGCGACCATGAAATTAAACGGAAATTAGCTAGGAAGGAATATAAAAATTTTTTACTTCATGCAATGTTTTATTTCTGTGCCGTCTTCAAGTATGCCCCAGTACTTACGCTTGGAGAGGACATGAACTTCGGAAAATTTTTCCAATTAAAACAGCCCATCTTTTCGCCGACCATTCCCATTTCAATGAGTTTGTTGTACCCTTCTTCGTTCGTCATGAGTGCGTCAATGTTCTCATAGTAAACCTTCACTTTGGATTTGACTTCGAGAAGAACTCATTGTAGTTGTCAAGGACTGCCTTTGCGAACTGAGGGTAAGACCAATGTTCGACAATAGGTTTTAATGTGGTTACTAAGCCACTTTGACCTTGAGTGAATTCGTACTTCAAAACAAAAGGAGAAAACCTTTCAACAAAGTTGTCGACCTTCTCATAATGTTTACTCTTCATCTCTTGAGGTTTCTTAATGGAATATCCCCATGTCGAATTCATAAGCAATTTGAGTGTCATTGCAAGTTTGGGGTTTGAAGCTTTCCTAATATCATACAGTTGTTGTATGACTTTTCCAACTGTATAGTTCCTTCCCGGGAACTCACCATCTTCGTTTGGAATTCCAGTCGGAATATATTGGACAAACCTCATGTACGCAGCGTTAAGGTCGACATAGTATATTTTTTCATCTGAGTCGAACTTGTCGCAACCAATTGGTCCAGTTTGTGGAAATTCAAGTGAGTCTCTTATCTTCTGAGAAACTTCTCCTGTTATCTCATAAACATCGTCGAAGCAACCTGTTTCATATAAAACCTTCTGACCTAACTCAGATGCTCTCCAATACAATTTGACGTCAATTGGATGTCTCAATGGAAGTTTGTTTATAGCATCTTGAAGTTCTTGCAACCTCATTGGAAGTTCTTCTGGTTCAGGTTGGTATCCGAACAATCCAACTCCTTGTGGAATTGTGTACTTCTTTTGTACTAGAACTTTGTCTGGAACAACTTTTGGTCTTGCTAACAGTGAAAAGTTTGTTTCGTCTTTTGGTACAAAAGTTTCTGTCAGCTTGTCATCTGGAATTGGTTCCAACAAACCTTTCTCGAAAAGAATGTTTACAGCTCTGACAATGTTGCACTTGCCTTTTCCGAACAATGGGTTTGTAAGACTTTCGTTCAACATGAAGTGGTTGTGGACAATTACAATCTTCAACCATGGCAATTTGAAGTCAACAACATAGTCGTCATGTGAAGAACCTTTAGCTGTAGGTATGTTGACTCGGATATTGACATTTGCCAACGGTGCAATTTTTGCCAATTGACCTCTGAGAATGTACCTTGTCTTCACACATGACTCAAGATACTTCATTTTCTCATCTGTAACAAGACCAGAGTTCCTGAGACATGTAAGAATGCAAGGTTCATTGACAATTGTTTCAATTGAATTGTAAATTCCATACCTTGTCAAGTCAATGTCAGACTTATTTCTGAACGGGAAGTATCCAGCATGTTGTCTGACTGCTTGAGGGTTAGGTTGGTACCATTCGAACTTGACACTTGCAATTCCTTCAATTGCATTCAAAATGTCTGAGTCGGAGTCAACCATTTGTTCTCTCTTTGTAGTCTTGAAAGCGTCAAGAAGTTTTGCGGCTGTTTGTTCATTGCCATGTGCATAGTAAATGTGACCATCCAAATCTGTTATGGTCAATCTGAGATTGTGTCCTTTCTTATTTCCGTCTTGTATGGCAGCAAGTACTCCCATGAAGCCTTCTTTGTTCTTTCCTTCGTCAAAGTTTACTGTAAAGGTTCGACCAGATGTAATTTGACTTCTAACTTCACGATACTTTTCATATGCATATCTTGTTCTTTCCATGGGAGCATGTGCGTCTTCACCTTTTCCTTTTTTCCTTCTCAAAGGATGCAATTGTTCGTCATGTTTCCAGTAGAATCTGGCAAAGCCGTCGTGTCCTTCAACTTGAGGTTCACTAACATCGAAAGGCATGTCCATAAGACGTTCTTCTTCTAACCTCTCTAGTCTGTTTGGATAATTTGCACGTGCTGTTTCCAAATCCATTTCGTAGCGAAGACCAGCAGTTTGTCATAGACTTTTATGGGTCTTCCCTTCCTATATTTAAAATTCTTCGAAACTCTCCAACCATATTTTGCAACTCTGCTTTTATTCTAGCAGATTTTCTATCCATTCTATATGGGGGCATTTTTATAAAAATAAAAAAATATTTTTTTCTTTTACTTTACATAACCGCCGCTGCCATAAGTCTTTGACGCCAACCCATACCAGCTAATGAAGGTTGACTTGGTTTAGTTTGGAAACTAAACTTTGGTTTTGGTTTATCTTCAGTTTTTGGTTTCTCTTCTTCTATCGGTTTTTCGTCACTTTTCGGTTCCCTGACTTTACCTCACTTGCAGGAACAGTTGTGTCGTCAACATCTTCATAAATATCATATGCCATTTGTTTTTGTTTTCCTTTCAACTTTTTGTGTTTGTTGTAAAGTTTAGAATATTTCGACTCTAAGTCAATGAGATGTTCTATAATGAACTGTTGGTCAGTGAAGTAAACTTTTCCATCTGTTGTCTCGAAAAGCTCCTTCAGACTTCAATATTTTATTTGTGAGAGTCTGTTTCTTTTTGAGATACTAGCCGTTCCATTTTTATGAAAAGTGACTTTGTAGTTAGGGTTTGTATTTCCAGACCTGGCACTTTCTATTATTGAATTTTTCTCTTCATCTGTAAGTTCTTTGACAGGTTTTGACAATGGTTCTGAACTTTTTGTTTGTGGTGTCAAATCTACCGTTTCAACTTCTTCGGTCATTTCATCTCAGTAAAAAATTTTAGTTTGGTTTGTTTTCAACTAGTTGTTGTTGTTTTTTAAGTCGGTCTAAAACTTCCTGAGGTATAGGAAGAACTTGACAAACACGTTGTGTAACTGCTGGAAGCCGACAAATCCATCTTGAACCCATTTGTCTCAATGCTGTATTGTTCATTTCATCTCAGTAAAAAACTTTACATTCCCCACGTTTGAGGTGGTTGCGGTTGGTTATTGTTTACCCACTGTTGTGCATGGTTATATCCTCTGTTAAAGAATCTTTCACCTTGGTCCATATAGTGTCCTGCTTGGTTATAGTAGTCATTTGCTTTGTTATAATAGTTTCCTGCTTGTCTTCCTACATTGTCCATCCATCCTTGAACTTTTCCTCTTGTTTCAGGATTTGGAATAAGATTTGTTGCATCTCGTGCTACATCCCAACCTTTCTGTACAGTTTGTATAATAGGTTGTGCTTTCTCTTTAAGTATACCTAATGTACTCAAAATCTTCCTTCCAACTCCAAATACACCTCTGGCTATTGTTCCCACTGCGGGTAAAAATCTGGATGCAACTCCTGCTAACGCGCCAAATAAACCCATTTCTTATGGGTTAAAAAATGACGAATCCAAACAAGGACCCCTATGTTTCTAAAGCGACAAAGAAAGCACTCATGGTAAAAATCTTTAGTTCAACACCAAATGCTTGGTTTATGGATATCTTGGAAAACATTCCGAGGTATAGAGAAGATGGACCACCATACTGGCTAATATTTGTCGGTCAAAACACAAGATACTGTGAAGCCATACCATTACAGTCCAAAAATATTTTAGATATCTTAGCAGCTTTGACAATATTTGTTGACAAATACCATCCAACAAAACTGACATCTGACTGTGAAAGTTCTTTCAAATCAGACGATATTAAAAACTATCTGCGTTCAAAAAATGTAAACCAATATTTCATTGTCGACCAAAACCATTCTGCTCTTGGTGTCATTGACGGTTGTATAAAAATGTTAAGAGACTTAAACCAACCACAAGGTGGTGAAGCAAATGAAATGTCATATGACGACAAATATAGACACTTCTCCAGGCAAAGATGAGACAAGTTTTAAATATTTACAATAGCCGTAAACAAAAAGGTTTGGGAAACCACTCCCCCGAAGAAATGAAAAACAACCCTGACTTAGAGAAAGACTATATATTTAATAATTTAGTCAAAAGAGACAAACAAGAAAGAATGCCGGGCTTCAAACTTCAGAAAGGTGACAAAGTAAAAATAGAAATACCTAAACGCGACCCATATGAAAATACTATTGACTATGACAACAATGGGAACCCGACAGGTACTCACATTCGTGTTCGTAAAAATAGAAGAAAGTATACAAGAGAATATTATGAAGTTTTAGGCAAACATGGCAAAATGTACACACTGCAAGCAGAAGATAAAACTACTATTGTCAGACCTCGTTTCAAACTTGTCAAAGTTCAAGGTGGTATACTTTCAAAGACAGTTCCTAACAAATATAAGACAACTCCTGACGAATATGCTAAAGAAGTTGAAAATGACGACTAAGCAATTCTATACCATGCGTAAACTGTCATGTAAGGTGGCATGTAGTCTTTACTTTGTCCCGTTGTTTGCGTATATCCTGAAACGAAATGTGTATGGTTTCCTTCTCCCTGAGTGTCACTCCAGTAACAATTTATAGCAAACTTAACTCGTCTTTAACATCATATCCTTTACCTTTTGTCATTCCTGACCAATCCCAATATCTATGCTTATGCCAACCTGCTTGAGATGTACTTAAATCTATGTAGTGACTGTGCGCAGGTAAGTTTTCACCTGAAATCGTTTTACTTCCACCTGTTTCCTTTGAAGAGTTTGCACAATACAAAAACCTGTCGACTATTTGAGTCCATGCACCAACACCAAACATTACTTGAGGACCTCTTGCTTCCATAGATGTATAAATAGAACCTACTGGGTTCATTAAATCAAACATATGAGATATTATAGGATTGTCTCTTTTGAACTTAAAATATAGTGCAACTATTTCAGGTTTCTTCTGGTTTAAGTCAGAATATTTTTTATAATATAATCTTATGTTTTCAGGGTAGGTAAAGTCTTGACTATAAGATTTATTTCTGTCATCTTCATAATAGTATACTATTCTCGTTTTTTCTATTGCATTATATCTTTTATATCTATAAAAATCTAAATATAATGTTAGCTTTTGTTCATCTACATGTGGTGTTCTGACGTCATCTCCATAGTCATAATAGTATGGTGCTGGAGCTGGGTCAGGCAATGTCATATCTGTCATTTCATAAACTCGGAAATATTTCTTTTGTTCGTCTCCATATAAGTTTAAGTAGCAGTTGTTGTCTAATGGAACTTTAACTTGTGTACCATCGTTCTTTTTATAGCTTACATACATTTCATTGTTATTTTTCGGAATGAGTTTATACCGTATACCATTTTTTAAGGAGTGTACAAACTGCCATCTAAAATATTTGTTTTCTTCATTGAAAGAAAAGTCACCAACAATAGTTTCAATATTTTTTGTTCCAACTAAACTTTGGTATATTTCATTGACATATGTTTTATCTGCTTTATTTTCAAGGCTAACGTTTAAGTCTGTTATTTCAGAAGATGTATGTGTATGTCCAACGGCACTTTTCCTGTTTAAGGTTTCTTGTAAGTTTGCAATATTTGCAATGGTATGTGTATGTCCAACGTCACTTTTCCTGTTTAAGGTTTCTTGTAAGTTTGCAATATTTGCAATGGTATGTGTATGTCCAACGGCACTTTTCCTGTTTAAGGTTTCTTGTAAGTTTGTTATTTCAGATATAGTATGTGTATGAGTCTTTTTAGAATATTCGTTTTCAGCTCTTGTCACTTCACTTGACATTTTATTGTCAACATATTTTTTGTCTGCTAGTTCAGGATGAGTATGTTCTTTTGTTGCATAAGCTTTGTCAGCTCTTTCTTCTTCTTTTGCTATTGCATCGTCTACATATGTTTTGTCTGCTTTGTTGCCAACATCTGCTTTCAAAAGAAGTTCAGATATAGGTTTCTCGTTTAAAGTTCCTTTTGTTGGATTTATACAAACAGTATGGTTCTTATTGTCTTGAAACAGAAACTCATCTGTCATTGGGTTTAAAGTCAGTTTTAAGTTTCCTTCTTTCAATGACTCAGATATCTTAGAATAGTTTGAAAAGTTTGTTGTGTTCTTATTTAGAGCTTGTATAATGAGTTGTCGGTTGTGTTGTATTTCTCTCATAGACGCTGTTTCATTTGACATTTTTATTCTAGATAAAATATGCTTTCAATAGAAAAAGAAAATTCAAGAGTTGCTACAACTAAACCATTAGATGAACTTTTTACGAATGTCGGTCAAAAGTTTGAGACAGAGACCGTAAAGCATGAAGGCTATCGTTTTGACTACCCGTTAAGATGGTTAAGAGACCCATCTGTCACAAAAGCTATTGGCTTTCGTAGAATGAAGTTCATTTCAGAAGCCATACATGGTTTCCCATTTACAGTCGGTTTTGAAGTTCGATACTATAACAAAGAAAAACATACGTAAGTTAGTATACAAGTCTCGTGTACTGTGGCACTGCGTTCCTCCGTACGCAATACTTGTGAATTTGACACTTTACAAAACCGTTAACGTATATTTTACAACACAAACACAAACACCAACTTAACCTTAAATATTTACAAAACCGCCAACCACTAATGACTTCATTAATGTAAAAATAAACGTTCTCACTTACAAAAGTATTGCAACTCCTCCCATTGCTGTGCTTCACATAACAGCTCATATTCTTCTGACTCACTTTCTTCTTCATATAGGTCAAAATCACTGTCAAAATAAATGTTAGTAAGTTTTGACAAAGCTAATGAAACACGCTTACCGTTTGTATCGTATGCTTGTATAAACTTTCCATTCTTCATTCCTTCATAAACGCTCAAACTAACTTTACCCTTTCTCCCTCGTATCTGATAGAATGTATTTTCACGAGGAACGAAGAACAAATTCTTGAACTCATGACCGTTGTAGTTTGTTATCTCAATAGTTTTCGTCATTTACATCCAAATAAAAATAAAAATTTTCAGTAAATAAAAAATAAACTTAAAAATTAATGATATCACCACCCTCACACGTATGAAAACATAGCGCAAAAATAAATTTAGGGTAGAAGGGTATATCTCACCTCATTTCTACCCTCATTTCTAACCTGTTGAATTCATTGCTTTATAACTCTCTTCCTTGGTTTCTTTTTAGTTGCTTTCTTCACGTCTGTCTCCAACTTGACTGTCTTTCTTCTTCGTCCGTAATGATACCAATTACTTCCACCAGTCAATGGGTCAAATGGTCTTTCGTAAGGGTTTCCATACATTCCATAGGGACCATACGGAAGAACTACTGGTGGAGGAAGAGTTCCATCGAATCTATTTAAATGCATTGTTTCACCTTTCATCTGGTCATTAAAGTCTTTTGCATGTTTTGCAAACTCATCGTCCTTTCCTAAAGCATTTTCTGACTCAGTCGCAACCAAATTGGATGCTTTATTTATGAGCCCTATTTTATTTAATCTTAACTTCTTTGCAACCCAGCCTCCAATCTTTCCTTTATTTGCATCTAATGTCTTCGAAACTCTTCCTCCACTCATTTTATTTACTGCGTCATAAGCTCCAAGTGCTTTTGCTCCAAATGCTAATGCTTTTGTTCCCATTGCGCCTAAAGCTGCCCAAGCTACCATTTACACCATATTAAAATCATCTCTCTTCAATATTATCTCATAAAAGTTCTCGTTACTGGAGAAAGTCAATGAAACATAAACATTCTCATTCATAAACTTCTTTCTTATATCATCTATTCTCAATAAAATGTCTGAACAATTGCTAACATCTTCTACAACAGTTATTTCATCATGAATGACCTTTAAAAACAAGCTCATTTAATATGCTATTAAAATCATCTCAATAATGAGTCCATCCTTTCCATCTTTAGGTAGCACAACATCTTTCATTGAAGAAGGTTCGACAAGTCTTATATTAAACTTACTGACAAAGTTTGTTATACTATAATGCTTCGGCGGCGAATACATATAGTTTGAAAGACATAATATAGATTCTTCAGCAAATTCACTTATACTGGATTTTATAACAATGTTCTCACGAGACCAAATACCACCAATTGACAATCTTGTAAGCAATCCTGCTGAACCTTCTACTGTAAACGTCGATGGTAACATTCCACGAAGGTCATCTATTGACATCGTTGAGTCACTGAATTTAAATATTTTCTTAAAGCAATCGTCATTATCTAACCATGCAATAGCTTTGAAGTTTTCATTCGAATATACATCTGCTTCATTAAATGTAAAACCTGACTTCTTTGCAGAGACGACTTTAAAATCTATTGAGTTTGTTTCAAAATTATATGCTATGCTAACTTCTGAAGGTAATGGATGTCCTTCCGCAGTCAGTTGTTCTCTCACTACCGTTTGAAGCTTTGTGTTAAAAACTTTCATGTCATCTCCTGTGTCTAGGTTCACATACACAGCAACAGGAAAACTATCTTGCTTCTTTGTCTCATCATTATACCTCAAAACATTAAAGTTCTTCAATAATATTGTCCTTCCTGCTGGAATACTTCGAACCTGTCTTATTTCAATAGCTTTCTCACCTCCTACATACTCTACCCAGTGTCTTGGATATTCATAAGTATACTGACTTTCTTGAATTTTGGTTGGTTTCATCATAACGTGTTCATAGTATATCTTTATACTCTTGTCAGTTAGACTCGGTGCTATGTTCTGAATATTTCTGACTTGCATTTTTAATGGAGATAAAATGAAGCATTTAATACATGACGTAGATGAAGACATGAATGAAACTACAGACAAACTTAACTCTTCTCTCATTCTTCCTTTCAGTAAGGACTCTGAGTTCTGTTCAAATGGCGTTTATTTCTATTGTGGAAAGATGGGTTCAGGTAAGACATTTAATTTAATTCGTCATATACTCATAACAGAACGTTTAGGAAATGACTCATATTATGACCAAATCATTATATCAGCAACTTCAGACTCTATGGACTCAACAGCGAAAACATTTATGTCAAAAGTTCAAGCCTCTGTCGTTAAAGTTCCAGACAGTGAACTCATTGAATTTCTTCAACGTTACATTCGACGTAAGAGGAAATATTATGCCATCGTAGAGTTCATACAGTCAGGAATGCAAAAGACTTCTGAGGAGATGGAAAGAATTATTGACAAACACCACTTACGTCAATACTCAGGAGTTTACGATATGAAACGACTTACAAACTACATTCTGTCAAAACTTTCAAAATACCCCTTCAAAAAATATCCTTCAAACACTCTGCTCGTTTGCGACGACTTCGCCGGAAAAGGTTTAGTGTCAAAGCCTGACTCACCATTAGCTAACATCATTACTAAAGTCAGACATTACCACTTAACTGTAGCAATACTTATGCAAACATGGAGGTTTTTAGCTTTAAACATAAAACGTCTCATAACTGACTTCGTTATCTTTCAAGGTTTCTCACGTTATGATATTGAACTCATTTGGAAACAGTCAGGTATAACATTACCTTTTGAAGAAATTTGGGAAGCATATAAGTCTCTCATCTCTCCTCGTTCATACCTTGAGATTCATATCATGACTAATACCATTAAGTCAAAAATATTCCATGGGAACGACCAACATTGTTTTAAAGTTTAACCTTCAATTGACTGATGGTAAACAAATTCCATGCATCTCTGTCGCCATTTCTGTTAATATTTTTGCTGTCATTCATATCATCCACTTCTCCATCCGTTAGCTTTTGAGGATATGCGTTAGAATAGCTGTTCTTAAATGAAGGCTTTTCACCTTTGAGAGCATAAACTCTATAACTTTCTGCATACTTTATGTTTGAACCTCCTGAGCCATCATTGACATAAATTTTTATAGGCTTCCACCCTTTGTTCATGTTCCTGCTTCTTCCCTTAGCTCTTTTGTTCAGTAGTTCTACATCTTTATCACAGCACCTGTCTCAGTGAATTCAACAATATTTTCATTCGTTAGCTTTACATTCAAACCCTTGTCGAGTATATTGTTCATTTCATACATATAAAAGGTTTTTATTCTATATGAAATGAGAAGCAAATCCATCTTAGCTGGTGCCGTTAATGTTCCAATTGAACCAACATCAAATGTTGACTCACGAACGACAAACAATATTGTCATAAAGAACTATAGTTCGGAGTGTTTGAAAGAGCCAGAACCAGAGCTGAAATCCGTGAATTTAAACACAGCTTCAAACGCTAACGCTACATCAGATGTTAAGTTAGAGTATCCACCACTGGACCAAATTCTTTCAAGAGAAGCCAACGACAACCCTTACACAAATGTTCAAACAAATCCTTCAGATAACGTAGACCATTACCTTCTTCAGTTATACCAAACAATTTTACTCAAAGACGATAAGAAGCTTTTGACAAATCTTATAAGCAAGAACCAAATAATTCTAACAAAGGAGGACCTTGAAAATGTTATATCACGAATAACAGGGAAACAATGTGTCATTGACGATCTCGACCCTGAAATCGAATGCTGTGGTCAAACGCCACCATTCATGAAAATAGGTAACATCCGCATCATTGAAATACCAGGAACTACAGGAGTTGAGTTTAAGTATAAATATTCGAATGAATATACAAAACTTTCAACAGAATATAAACTTTGTTTGAAATATGTTTTAGTAAATTAAAGCAATTTGTAATATCTATCCAAAACTTCTTCAACGGTATCGAACTCATCTTCATAATGCAAACCTAATCTTATTGACTTGGTGCAGTTTTCACTAACACAATATAGCGCTTTGCGCTCGGCGCCTTTGACGCCTTTTTCTGTTCTCTTGACTGACATAACTAACTCATTTGTTTCATCAAACAGCAATAACCAAAGTTCATGACCTAATACATAACATTCATACTTTATATTTTTAGCTCTGAGTTCTCTTGTAAGCTGTTGCATTTAATATTTTCTAAAAAGTCAACTTCAACAGTCATTCGCACTGGTGCCTTCAGTTCTACAGGCTCGCCTTGAAAGTCAACAAGTCTGAATTGCATGTCTTTCAAATTATGAGGACTAATGCGAACCCATTTACCTAAATGAGTTACTATGACAGGAACGTTTGGAATGAACATTGAATTGACTGCATAACAGAAGGATTTATATTCTACTGAACCTTTACTATTAACTCCTGAAATACCTGTGACATTA